GTGGGCATGTACGAAGACATCAATATCGATTTCCTGCTGGTGGATGGGCATCCATTCGGCAGCCCGTGGATAGAGCAGTAGTTTTGATGTTCGAGGCTTGTTATTTAAGAAATACATCTTTAAGTCTGTGGCTCCCTTGGATAATGACTCTTCAGGTGGATGTGGGTAAAGAAAACAGAAAACCTTTTGGAAAGGACTTGCCATTCTGGGCGACGTCAAGAACATTTGTGATTCATGGGGAGGAGAGGTCAAAGGATAGACATCAACAGGCATTTGGAAGAAGTTGATCCGAACCCTCATGAATGACTTAAAGGGGTTCAGAACTTTAGTGGAACTTTAGATATAAACAAGAGAACTAAAAGTGGGGGGGACTTTTATAAATGGGTGAGCAAAGAAAGTGGTTTCTTGACGTGGAGTCTCCTTCTAATGAAGGTGCTGTGAATAAATCGTTTCTGAAAGAATCAATCAGTGTGGCAAACTTTGTTATTTTTTCCCCAAGAAATTCCCCTAGCCACTCCAACCCTTTGCAGCCACCACCCGATCCATCAGCAGCCATCAAGGTCATGGAAAAACCCTTAGAAAGATTATGACTTACTGAAGGCTCAGGTGACTGGTAGTGGTTTTTAGCAATGAGGTATTTTTAAATTAAGATATGCACGCTGATTTTTGGCTATTAGGCTATGGCACATTCAACAGACTGCAGGGTGGTGTGAGTGTAACTTTAATATGCAAACTTCACATGACCTGCTCAGTTGTAGTGGTCTGGAATCAAACCCACAGTCTCTTAGATTTACCTGTATTTTGAAGGGAAAAATTCTTGCCTTAAAACCTCACAGGATAAGTACTACATATGCATGCCCTAAATATTCATCTTAAAGAACTTTTAAAACACCAATAGGAAACAAAAATGAAAGCCAATTAAGTGAAACACAAAAGGAGAAGAACAGAAAAAATTAATGATGGTTTACCAGAAAGACCATTTAAAACAGCTCTTTGCTTATTTTATATGGGAACAAAGTAAGAGCAAAAATCACACTGGAATGGGCATTGGAAAGGAGACCAAACCTCAAACCAGAGCAAATTGGCAGTTGTCTTAAAGTGTATCAGTGGGCTAAAATTGTTCTGAGAAGCAGTAGCCAGGTTAGAGACAAAGTCCTACAGGAGTCACTTGAAGGGTATTAAAATACCTATTGGGTAAAACAGAGTTTAGGTCTACATGGCTTTTTAACTGAATTCTGAAACCCAACAATATAATTCCAGTTTGACTCCATAGAAGCCACCAGCAATTCAGAAATGCTGCAGTTGTCTTGAGTTCCACAACTTTCAAATCAAAACCAGAGGTGGATGGGACTCCAGTGCTCCATCCACCCGCCATGGCCACAGGTCAGTGTCACTTGTGACTAAAATGCATTGGCAAACCCCAAACTTCACCTTCAGCTTCTTACAGAAGCACAATATATTAAATCTAAGTGGAATTTTTTCCAGGAATTCAAGGATAGTTTACCATTGGCACAGTTGGCAACAAATTGAGAAAAACAGCAAAAGTCACTAAATGCCACAACTGTATCTGGCCAAATAATTAGCATAGATTGTGGAAAGAAAGATAAAAGGGAGACTGATATATATTTGTCTCGCATTTATTAAATCTAATCACTTCTCTATTCTGGAACTAACATGTAGAAATGTAGGGCAGCAGACAGGGACATATGGGAAATTCTGTTCATGACATTGACAGAAACAGTTCCTCATTTAGCAGTAATTTAAATAAGAAATTTAAATAGGAAAGATTGCATTTATATAAGGTCAAGTATAAAATCTTACTGAAAGATAAAACCACCTCGGGACAAGTAGAAATGTATACCAGTCCTTCCAAAATGGATGTTTGTGAGCTTATACTGATGACTGGTTCCAACCAATTATGTGTTGAGAAAGGTGGGAGGTAGCTGCAGAAATAAATGTGTGTTTTGTAAGTTAGATAAGTGTATATCCTTGCTCTGTCTGCTGAGGGAGCCCAGAACCACTGATGTCCTACTAGCAATGAGCACACCTACGCACCTAGATATTGCTTTCTAAATATAATCCCCCAATAAAAGAAATCAACACTCCTCGGACAAGTGATTAGTTACAGGGCTGGGGTAAAATGAACATGGAACATCAATAAATAAGTGCTGAAAAAAGGATGTGGGCACTTCAAGTGGGCAGAGGAGCCAACTGGAAAGAGCTCCAGTTACCAAAGCTGGAACAATGTGAGCAAGCAATGATCGGCCTGGATTAGAACGCACAGGGTCAATATCCACCTGTCCATGAATGAATGAGAAGAGATCATCAGAACCAGATGATCCACATTAGTGCCACATGTGACTGCACATCCATGCCCTTCCTGATGTGACATTACCCAGAACCAAGAGCCTCAGACAGATCGCGAGGACACACCAGCCACCTGCATTATGGAACACTACACACCACCACCATAAAACATCAGAGAGGACCGCAGAAACCTCACAGACTAGGGGGACCAAGGCGCCGAGTACAGCACGGGAGCTTGGAATGGCAACAGGGCATTCAGTAAAGTCTGCGGCTCAGCAGTGACGCACCAGCATCCGTTTATCAATCGTGACCTTCCTAACTGTGGTTGTGCAAGAGGTTGATGCTGCAGTATCTGAGAACTGTACCACTGCTGCAGCCTTTCTGTACAATTTATAATTTCAATATAAAACAAGAGAAGGCAGCACAGTGGGGGGAATTTTCTTCATGTTTTTCCTCCTGCTAAAGAGAAAAAAAAGGAAATGCCCTAAGATTGCATCAAGGGCCAGGTAGAACTTAGTACCAAAGTATTTTCTAACTAGGGACTTGGAAAAGCAAAAAACTGAAAAATATGTCAAACAGACTCAAAAGAAAACTAGGAAATGGTTATTAAAAACGTCTATGGGGGAAGAGGGGAATGGCTGGGAGGGGTGCAGGGTGGGCAACACTCTCTTGATGGGGTGGTCATCTCTCCCTTCTCACAGTTCCCTTGGGGGATGTCCATGGTGGCTTTTTTATGGTTTTATTCATGCATCATAATTATACATAATAGTGGACACAGCTGGCAGTGGGTCTCATTTTGACATTCATAATTGCATATAGCATAATTGGCTCCGTTTCAATTCCCAGCACTTGCCCTTTCCTACCCCTTGCTCTACACTGTTGGTCTTCCTTTTGTTTGTTGATTGTTTTAAATTGGTGCATTATAGTTATGTACAAAAGTGGGGAATGCGTTGTGATATATTCCTATATACATATAGCAAAATTTGGTCAACTTCCTGCTCTAATCTTCTCCCTTCCTCTTCCCTCCTCCCTTCCCCTTGGTTCCCTGCCTCCACTCTGCTGATCTCCTTTCTGTTTTCATAAGACCCCCCTTTCTTATTCCTTCTGCCGCTCTTGTTTCTGTGGATGACAGAAAACATTTGACCCTTGACCGAGTCTGGCTTATTTCACTTAGTGTGATTTTCTCCAGTGCCATCCATTACCTGCAAATGACATAATTTCATTCTTTGTGACTGAGTAGAATTCCATTGTGTGTATGTTCTGCGACTCTTTGGAGGTCATTAAAGTGGAAAGATTTGCAGAGACAGGTATCCTCAGAGTCTGTGCTTTTTGTAAAGACAAATGACAAGAGCAGCCCAGAATGTATATTGATCCGCAATTTTGTAGCCCTGGAGTCTCTCATAAAGTAGTCCACTAGTAGGGGAGTAGTGGTCGCTAGACTGACCTCTGGAGTAGCCAGCCTGCATACACTGGTCAGTGACCTTTCAAAAAATCACAGGTGGCGAAGCATTTCTTTTCCCCCCACCCCACAAGCACATTGGCAGGAATATTCGGGATTTTGTGGGCTCCCTGGGTGGCAAGGCTCAGGGGCGGGACTTGTGCCAGTCATGGCTGCACCCTAGTGCTCACCCTGCAGCTCCGTTTGCCCCTCTCCTGGCCTCATTTCAACTTTCTCTACATTACGGCAAAGGGACTGAATTGAGATCACTAGGAACTGGGTACATCCACCATTCTTTCAGCCAGTCCCAGGAAAATTTTATACTAAGAACACCAGCAAAAATCCTGTGGATGCTTTTAATTGGCATGGGAGATGATGGTGAGGAATAACACATCGGTGATGCCTAGAACTGAGCCACTTGCCTATCCCTGGGGGTGTAGTCTATGGTACCTTGGCTTTTTTTCAGGAGTGGGGAGGGAGATAACAGCTTTGTTGAGATAAAACTCATTTATCACACACTCACCCATTTAAGGCACACAATGTTTTTAGCATATCCAAAGTTGTACAACCATCACCACAACCAATTTTAGAACATTTCATCACCCCTAAAAGAAATTTTGTGCTAATTGGCTGTTACCACTTACCCCTCCCCTGGTTACCATTAATATACTTTCTGCTGTATGGATTTACCTGTTCTGGAGATTTCACATAAATGGCATCTTACAATATGTCATCTTTTAGCATGATATTTTCCAGGTGGAACCTGTTACTGTGCCTTTTTATTTTAAGTTGTAGAGGACACAATACCTTTATTTATTTTTATTTTTATGTGGTGGTGCCAGGGATCGAACCCAGTGCCTCACGCATGCTAGGCAAGCACTCTACCACCGAGCCACAACCCCAGCCCCGTTAAGGTCCTTATAAAATCTTAAATTATCTGCTTCCTGCCTATCCTCACATTGTGCTGCTTTTTCCTTAGTTAAGCCAGTAGCTGCTTGACCTTTGCTCTTAGATAAAAGCCGGGAGGTGATGCAGACCAAGGAAAAAGCATCTTAGATTAAGACGTGGGATCCGGGGACTTTACAAAAGGGCTAGCTTCTGTAGAACACATAATGACTAACTGTGAGCTTTATCTCTGATAGTTCCATTTGCAAAGCCTCTGCCTGGGCACATGCATTAGACCCATGTCCCATGTGTTGGTTTGGAAGATGTGGTCATTTCACAAACTCAAGGTGATTCTCGCCCCTGCCCCCAGGAGAGTGAAGAGGAACTTTACTCCTCCTGTCGCCAGCTGCGGAGGCGGCAAGAAGAGCTGAACAACCAGCTCTTTCTGTACGACACGCACCAGAACTTGCGCAGTGCCAACCGTGATGCCCTCATCAAGGAGTTCAATGTCAATGAGAACCAGCTCCAACTGTACCAGGAGAAGTGCAACCGGAGGTAGGTTAGCAGATCCTGGGCGTCTGGGCAGTGACATCGGGTGTCCAGGCCAGGCTTCTGGAGAGCCCCCCCACATGGCTTCTCTAGGAATTCTTTGTTACCCTCGCTCTAATTCTCTTGCTCTGTAGATGAACTTACAGGAAGACCTCAAGCACCTGACACTTCCCTAGATAGAACTGTTTTCCAGACATTTCAATAATATTGGAAATAAATGATGATCATTAACTTTTAATTTTTTATGATGCTGGGGACTGAATTCAGGACCTTGTGCATGCTACTATGCTAAGGCAAGGGCCGTACCACTGAGCGACCTCTGCCACCCCAATAACTACAGACTCCAGAGGAGTCCTACTGACTTCCTAAGAATGGGCTAGTCCTGTGGTTCAAGATCAGGGCAGAATCCTCCCAGGGGAGGCTCTTGTTGTTCCCCAGGCACGTGATGGCAGAGAGCTAGCTAGACTTGACAGGTGGCTTCCAGTGTGCCAGATAGTGACTGAGCAACTAAAAATGACTCCGACAACCTCAGCACAGTTCTGCACTCCTCACCGAACCATTTGGCCAGCCTACAGCACAGCTCTTACGCCATTTTACCAAGAAGGAGGTGGATCTGAGTTTCAGGGTCTTGCCAGGAGCCTGGGGCCCCCCTGACTCCCAGCCCTGAACCATCCAGCCAGGAATGACTACAAATGTATGGATGGAGAAATGACTTGGAGCTCAGCGCAGAGATTATATCATAACTGCTAATGACAGCACAATCTCTTTTCTTTCAGGTTGAGAGAGAAGAGAGTCAGTAACAGCAAGTTTTACTCCTAGATGTGAGTGTACGTGTGGGGGTATCTGTGTGTGCATGTAGGAAAACGTGCTGTTTGGTTCCTGGGAAGAGGCTAATCTGTGACATTGTCCCGTCTCCAAGTCTGCCTTCAAGATGACGTTTCTGAAGAAGCCCTAGCTGGCATGAGTTGGGGTGATTTCCTGCTAATTTTTCCTCACTAGGACAACTTTTTTTTTTAACTTATATTCTCTATAGAGAATTGCCCAAATGTGCTCATTTTTGGTGTCTTATATTCCAAACCTCATTGAATAAAAGCAACAAAAAATCTTGGTCAGTTAAGCCTTCTATGCATGACCTATACCATGAATAGGATTTCTTTTCTGGTGGACAAGATTCTACTAATGACCCAGGTAATTGACTTCCACAGAAGATGAATCAGAAATGTAAGAAACTAATTAATTAGATTCTGAAAAGAATTTTAACTAAAAAGCAGATGATTCCACAATTAAGGCCATTGGGTTCCACAGAGAAGCCTGCCCTGTGAGTACCCAGCTCAGTGCACATTCCCTACCATGGGCAACTGCCTGCATGGACCACCACAGGCCCCAGGAAAGAGCTGGGTGATGGCTTTTGTTCATTAGGACAATTTCTAATTAATGGCAGAGGCTTGCTTTGTCAATAGAGTTACTGGGGGTGGGAATCTTGGGGCCTCTGTTTTAAGAAGGCTTTCAGAGCTCAGGTTCTGTGGAGGCTCCTCCCACCCCTCTTCTGCCTGCTGGGAGTCTCTGCCACTCCTCACGCCCAGGCTCTGTGGCGCTGACTGGCAGCAGCTGGGAAAGCCCTGGGTCCTCAGACAAGGTCAGTTGCTGGTTTAAAGAGGATAAAAGTTGAATTTGTGGGGGAATGTCTCTGGGTTGTTCAGTTTCTGGAGCAGTGAGCTAAACTCTCAGGGATTGAGCACTAGAGTGTTGTAGAAAACTGCAGATGCAGCTTCTCCCAGCAGGGGAAGGCACCTCCATCATGATTACACATGTGGCTCTGCATCCTGAGCTCAATTTCAATGACTTAGTAAGCCTTTTAAAGGAGAGGATCATGCTGGGTCACTAGAGTCACAAGTTAGAGTGACTTGAAACTTGAGGAAACAGGTTTACATATGAAAAACAAGTGCGGTGTAGAGGAACTAGTTAGCAGTAAACTGGTGCTTTGGTTGGGTGGAATTTGGTCCTAGAAACCCATTCAATCCTCCCCCGGTTATACAAAATGTCGGGCTCAGTGTGCATGTATTGTTGGCAAGCAAGTCAGGCCCTGTCTGACCTAAAGGCACTCTCCCTCGAGTCCGCAAAAACTTACCGAGCACCTCCATATGCCAAGCACAGTGACAGTTTTGACCATGAGAAATATCTGTGGTTACTGGTCTCATGGACCTATATCCATCCGTGAGCTCCTGGAAGAGGCAATTACCTTCCCCAAAGCCAGGAACAGCAGTCTGTCGCCGGCGGTGGGGTGTCGGGGGCTCTTACCGTGGGACATTATTTATTGCTCTGTGAGTTGCCGCTTTGTGTGGCAGTCAGCATCAAAAGTCCTCATAACAGTCACCGTTCAAAGCGACTTTCAAGAAAGGCAAGGAGCTGAAGTGCCATGGGGAAGGAAGTTTCACACTGTCCAGCCAGTGCCCCGCTGGCTGGTGGCCAGGCAGCTACTGGTGCCTACCCCACGAGCGTGACAAGTACCCCAGTCCCTTTTAGCCATATCATTACCCTACCCAGAAGCTCCCACATCACTCTGTATTAAGCCAAATTCCAAGCCCACATCTCCTTTCACTTAAAACAGACTTTTGACTACTGTATCATTTTGGCTACTGTATCAAAGATATGGAGAAGTAGCAGAAAGACCGAAGCTTGAAGAAGTGAGGCTTGTCTTTGCCTGCTGCTGTGTGGAGACTTGCCCAGCTGACCCTGTGGGAAAGGCAGGCAGGGGCCATCACAGCGATGCTGGGAAGAACCCGTCTCCTCCTCCTGGTGCTCCAGTGAGAGCCCACCTTTAGAGAGTACTTGCTTTGGCTCTTCTGTCCTTCCCTTAATAGGGTCATGCATTGATTGGTTTTTGATAATGTCAGGGACCAAGTGAATTCTCAGGAAAGAAATAGATGATATCATGTTTCTTCCCAGAGTCTGGATGCCACAAAGCCCAGTCATCTAGCTGAGATGGCTCACCATGCGACTTAAACCACTGGCTATATTGCAGGGTGATGCAACATTCCGACAGATGGCAGCAGCCCTATGGGCCCCTGCTGCCAGTGCATGGGTGTCACATGACTTGTTTGCCAATTCCTTACATGTGCTATTGGGAATATTGATTACTACATGGAAAAAAAAAATAAATGGAGGAGGTTGGTTGGGTTGTTAAGTTTGGGAAACTTAGGTTGTACAAAGCTAAATTTCCCCATGGTGAGACTTAGATATGCAAGAGGTAAGAGGGGTGTCCAGAATCATGTTCCCCAATTCAATCTCAGAATCCTTTGGCCAAGCAGTGGCTGAGAGATCAGTGTACATAGGAAACATCTGAGGATCTGATGGTCTATTAAGAAGGAAGCTAGACAACAAAATCTAGTAATTTACATGTTTTCTGACCTGGTTAAAAATTTAACCTCAAGCCACCAAACCAAGGCCAGTGACCTTTGAGCCACCCATGCCATGGCAGGCCAGCCTTACCCCTGCGGCAAAGAGCCTTTCAGGTATCTGTTTTCAGATCCTCATCTCCTATTGCACTTGTTCCTAAGAGTCATCTACCTTTAGATGATGCCCTTTTTAATCTTGCAAAAGAAAACAAGTTTCCCTCATTTCCTATCTACTGGAGACCAGGACCCAAGGTAGAGAATTCAAAATATGGATGTTTGGTCTAAACAGGGTGCAGACCTTTTACAAAGGTCTGGGAAGTGCCTAATTCTTTGCTTTCACAAAATGGATGAGACACTCAAGAAATTTCTGTCTTTGGACATGTGCCTGTGAGAGGAGACGGAAGAACTTGGATACTGCTATCACAAAACTTCCTCCGCTCCGGTTCCTCATCTGTGTGAGAAGGGTCATCACAGCTTCCACATGTAACAGGGAGAAAGGGCATCCGCACCTTGGCTCATTCTGAAAACATTAATTCACAGGTAGATAAAATAATTGGAGGAGAAGGCCCTCATCATTTCCAATTAATAATCAATCTCCATTAATACATGTCCAATGAAATTTTACTATGTTTAATAATTCATGTAAAATTTGTACTCCGTGTTTGCTAATCAAGCTCCATCCAGAAGGCATTTTTTAAAAAGCCTAGGGCCTTATGATTATATGATATTATGTAATTTTATTAAAAATAAAATTAAACAATATAAAAGCCCTATGTAATTAGGCTAAAATTTCGAGGGGGAAGAGGTATAAAACTACACATTCAGGATATAAAAGGAAATGTGGATTTCCTATTAAAAATCGCCTGTTCATGTCATTTTTGAAAGAAGGAGTGTCTGTCAAATAACTTTTATATTTAGAGCCCCTTGGCTAAATTTGAAAAAGGATTTAGTGGTTTTATTTGAACATACTGTACTACAATATGCCAGCATTTACATCCTTGCAACTGTTTGTGAGGAAAAATTTTAGATGTCAATTTAAGAGATATCGGAGCATGACATTTTAAGATCACTGATCCAGGGCCACTAAGTGACGAGTTGTATTTGGAAGCAAGGATGGCTACAAAGGGCCCTGATGCTTTTTACTTTAAAAGGAATGTCACTCAGCGTTTAACTTGTGTGACATTTAACTTTTTGGGAGCAAAAATATATGCCTAATATGAATGTGCCTATATGTGGTACTCTAGCTGTACCTAAAAGCTGTACTCTAGCCAACAGAAAGTTAATTAGATTCAGGAGTATGCAGAATTTAAAAAATTGACATTTAAGATTACTCAATGAGGGGCTAGGGCTGGGGCTGGAGCTCAGTGGCAGAGCGCTTGCCTAACACGGGTGAGGCACTGGGTTTGATCCTTAGCACCACATAAAAATAAACAAAATAAAGGCATTCTGTCCATCCACAACTACAAAAAAAATACTCAGTGATTTGTTCTAGGTTTTTAGTTGATCAAAATATTTTCTTGAAGAGCCAGATCACACAGCGATCCCATTTTTTTCAGAAATTTCCACTTTCTTACTTTTCACTAGGCTTTACACAGCTGCATTTGTAAACTCAATTCCTTGTTAAAGCTTAATTTATTTTTTTATATAAATATATGTGCTTGTCTGTGTATATAAAGGATTATGTGAATGAGTCACACAGATGTTGGCTATGGTTCTTGTGAAAATTAAATGGTTGTATCACATTTAAAAAAATAAAAATTTGGCCTGAATGAATACAGTAATCTGTCCAGAACTCTTGTTTTAAACTGCTATTTGATTTTTACACTCCCTAATGAAACAATGGAATGATTCAGATAGTTATAGTTATAATTCTTTTAAAAACATTATTTCCTATTCTATTTATCACATTTTCTAGGTTACAGGTCTTTTTGGGGGCAAAACTCAGATATACAATGAATATGTGACTCTTCAATTTATCTGCTTTGGAAGAATGTGTAGGGCTAGAAGGAGCACTGAGGTCGGTGTAAGTGGATTTCTCAGAACAGTGATGGGTGTCACTGGGGCTGTCAGTCCCTGGTGCACAGAAGCCCTGTTGTATGTCCCATGACTGTTCTACCCTGGCCCCCACCACCAGCGATCAGTCACCCCACCCCAAGACTTCAGAAAGGCCTATGCCAAACCTGCATTAGGAGATGGAGCAGTAACAAGTAGAGAGGAAATTAGAGTAGTGGCTTGATCATTTGGGGAAAAAAAAATGATGCAGCCATAACTCTGAAAGATACAAAAGGAACATATGTCAAAAATTCTGTTTAACTCACTAATCCTCAAGGGGACCCATAAAACATTCCAGCTGGAGCAAAGGAGAATTGAAAGAACAAGGTACACAATGCATACACAGGCTGCCAGGGCCTGGTTCTGTAGGGTCTCTACACCTCTCATTGAGTAACTCAATTGATTCCTGTCTGCAGAAATGCAAATTGTGACTGGAGACTCAGTTATGCATTGCCTTGTGGACACTGACCACTGATCTTGCCAGTTTGGTATCCACTAAGCAAATTATTTTAGTATCATCCATGACTTGAAATCTAACACTTGCCTCACACCACATATACAGGTTTAGCCCAGTAGATTATAGGCCAAAATGGAAAGAAAGGCAATGTTTCAAGGTCATCAAACCTTGAAGTACGTGAAGGCTGCTCAAACAGAACAGCAAAACC